TTTAAGAGATTTGTTCTTCTCTGTTTTAGACCTGGGTGCTAACCATGGGTGAAGGCTGGACTCATACAGCCAAGTTATAAAAAATTAAAAACACACATACACACACACATAAAAGCACAGAGAAAATATGACGAATTTTCAAAACTTCTGGATAAAGTTGGGAAAGTCTTCACTTCTCCATCAAGCACACCCTATCTTCCACCTTGACCTGGAATGCCATTGCTAAATGGTCAAGATGATGTATATAACACTTTACCATGAGGAAACCTAGCCTTGAACAGTAACTTAAGCGAGTTCACACGTTTTATCATCCAAAGGGAAATACTGCTTCCCCTTCTTTGTATTGGGGTTTTGTCAGTGATAACAGCCCTACTTGAAATGGAATAAGGACCAACATTTCTACTACCCTCCACCTAAGATCATTCAAATATGGGAGCAAGAGTGTATATTCAGTGGGTCCCACTGTGGGGGCCAGGGGAGACAAGGACACAGAAAGCAAGATGTGAAATGGTCCAGGGTTCTCTGTCCCTGGTTTAAGGCTTGTAAGATACTGTTGAAGAAGAAAAAAATTCGACAGATAAGCATCTTAAATCATAGTAAATTACACACTGCACGCTGGTGGCTCGGTCATGGAAAATTATGAAGCTACGTGATGTCTCATTTGTTGTGCTGAAAACAAATGTAAATAAATTACTGGGAGAATCTCATTTACATTTAGAACTTCATCCTAATGCATGACATGACTACCGATTTTTCTAAAGATACTCTGAGAAGAAATGCCACGCATTAAACGCAGATCATGCGGATCGTGGCAGGAGTTTGATGTGCTGCAGGGTTTTCTAAGCAAGAACTGCACTTTCCTAATGGTAGAAACACGCACTCCTACCCCCACCCTTACATCCCTACACACACAGATGAGAGAAAGGGGCATCAAACTCATGGTCGCTCCCATTTCTAATGCACCATCAGCCACCATTCAGAGCAAACATGCCTGACCCACCATCAGCGGACTAGCTGGTTGCCCAGCAGTGGGGATGGTTTGTAGTGAGGCATTCACACTCACCCCATCCCACCCACGGCAGCTGGCAGGGGTTAATGGGACAGAATGGAGTTTACTGGCCCCTGTAGGGATCAAGCCAATGACCGATCTCATTAACACTCTGCGTGGACCAATGGAGCTGCGAAGCCCATTGGTAGGAATGGACTCACATTGAGTAGGAATCGGTCATCAAGTGCACAGGCGCCCTGCGCGGGGAAGCAGCTGACCCGGGAAGGCAGATACGCAATGCAGGAGGCTAATGGGATTTGAGCAAAAAGGCTTGAAGGGCTTCAGGTCTAGGGTGGCTGTTAGGCTTGCTGCCATGCTTAATGTCTCCCATCCGCCTCTCCGTGACTCCATCCAAATGACCCAGGGCAAAGGCAAGGACTCATGGACAGGGAACAGAGCTGCAGCCACTGAATGCAATGAGAGGAAACCAGCAGGCCCTTATCACAAAGCTCTGAGGATCATTCTCTCTGTAGCCTATGGAGCTACAGCGACACAGGAGTAGACTTGTCTCGGGGCTATGGTACTACACTTGGCATCCTTTGCTTGGTATTGTTCCTTCCACATCACACACAGTAACACCTCTGCATGCCTTGCCTCTTAAGTGAGGGTCTGGGACTCAACCTTTTTTCCTCTCCGCAGCTGTGACTGGCCTCACATTCCAGCCATCAAATGCCTTCCCACTCTCCATGGATATCGCAGAAAGTTGTTGAGTTTTGCTTTCTATCCCCACGAGGGTGAAATACGACCATTGCCTAAGTCAGGAGATGACGGGGTAATGGCCCCATCCTCATTGTCATCCCTGGAGGAATATTTACATAAGCCGGACGAGGTCTGAGAGTTTATTGGTTAAGGGGAAAATAAGCAGGCCATGAAATAATTATTTTTCATTGCGCCCTGCCAAAGCCATTCGGCCAAAGGCTAAATTGAGCTGCTATTGTGATTATTTGAACTGTGGAGCCAAAAGTCTTTGCTGCACAGCATCCCAGCTGTCCTAAATTTTGTTCTGATGGCTAGTGCTCATTCTGGCTCAGACCCTGCCAAAAAAAATGGTCCCTGGAATAGGCGGGGGGAAGAGTTGCTTTATCCAGACCCACATCAATTACAGATTTAGGGTCGTTCGGAGAATGCGATGATTAACAAATCACTTCCTGAAACTGTAAGGACAAGACTCCCATATGCAAATGGCAGGCCACTCATATGCACACACTGAGGCGAGGAACAAATCTACTGCTGGTCGTTTCTTTTAATGCTGATTGTACTTTGCTGCAAATGACTTCTTCCCCAAGGCCCTCACCGCGGGGAGGCTGTGGCAGCGCTGGCTTAATGGGGGCATCGACCCCGGGTTTGCCTGGCACCTTGACAGGCCTGTCTGGTGACTGCAGGAGTCCATGACCCAGAAAGGGGGCTTGCGGAAACCACATAGACTGTTCAGAGTGGCACCCCAGGGTCCAAAGAAATCCCTTCCCATGGCAGGCACTCAACAGGTACGTGTTAGAAGAAGGAAGAAAAGGAGGCAGGCCGATAGCTCAGTGGGACGAGGGTGTTAAGTTTGTCGCACCTTTAAATACATATTCCCTTTGTGTTAGGACACATTTTGGAATACTAACCTAGGTTGGAGACACAGAAAACTGCCAAATCAGTTCTCTTTTAACAAACCACGACTTCCTTCTTCTTTGGCTAAGATCCATTCCCAATGGGGAAGAGAAGCAAAGGCAATATTCAATCTGATGCATCGTTCTAGCAAAATGCACACTAGGTTTGCCTCTAAAGAACCTCCTAATTGTCCTGCCATTTACCTCTCTATATATTTAAAGAAACGGAATCCGCTGTGATTGCATATTAATTCCATGTAGACCAGTCAGGTCAATCAGGAGGGTACAGGGGAGGAGGTGCATGAGCAGCTCTGGGGACCACTCCTGCCGCCCGCACCCAAGTGGTGCCCGGGAGGAGGTGGCCGGAGCCTCAGTAACTCCCACGTCTGTTAGGACAAGTCTAGCCTTAAAAATAAAAGGCCAATAGGGTAAGGTTAACTTTGAATAATTGTGGCCAAAAAGAAGTATATTTTTAAAAATCCTAAATAACATCCGTCTAGGGTATTTGGTTCTAACTTCAGGGGTGAATCAATATTATCTGTGGGAAAAGTATATGCACAAGAAAGTGAACTCCACTGTTTGTGGTCAAGGCCAGTGAGAAAGCAAAGAATGTCCACAGCTCATTAAAAACTTCCTTTCAGTCAGTTTTCCAAGTGCTAATGCTTTCCCACCACCTGCTAAGGATGTTCACCAGTAAGATGGTGGCCTCTACAAGCTTGACCAAAGGTTCCCACTCAGAAACCCAAAATCAGGGCATTGGATGGGGTAAATAAGAAAAAACAACTAAAGTCATATGTCCTGAAAAATATTAGATGAATGTCCGTTATGCTAATCATTTTTAATGCACACCTGAGAGGACATTTTTATTGATTTTTAGAGAGAGAGAGAGAGAGAGAGAGAGAGAGAGGAAGAGAGAGAGGGAAACATTGATATGAGAGAGAAACATCTATCAGTTGTGACCCTATGAGCCCCTACCCTGGATTGAACCCACAACTTCAGTATGTGCCCTGACTGGGAATGGAACCTGCAAATTTTTGGTGTATGGGCTAATACTCCAACCAACTGAGCCACCCAGCCAGGGCTACACTGATCACTTGTAAGAGAGAGGACCGTACGTACCCAAGTCTTCAGCGAGCCCCATCCTAGAAAACCACTAATACAATGTTATGTGATTACAGAACTGTTCAACTCATAGCCATGGTAGGTCATTTTCATTCTGATTTTCTATTCTCCTTTCACATACTATTCCTACCTGGAATAATACATGGCCTAAGATGAGAAGAGAAACCGCTGAAAAAGGAAAATTCCTGCTAAATGATAAAAAGCGACACTCTAGCCCAGGGCAACCTTTGCCTCCTACCCCCTCTGTGGTCAGCGGTGCATGGCGACCAAGCACCTGCCTTCCATTCCCGACCTCTCCTCTCTTCCTGGCCTGCTGAGCCCCATGGGACTTGGAGCAACTCATGACTCAATTCCCACCTGAGATGGAGGCACGAACAGAGCCCTGACCTGTGGCTGGTGAGACAGCCACCCCTGTACCTGCTGACTAGGCCCCCTCCCGGATCCAGCCCGCAGGCCCAAGGAAGTGACAGAACACCTTCCCCTTTAAAGCCAAGAAGGAGATGCCGAAATCCTTCATTTCCAGGAAACGCAGCAGAGAATGAGAACCAAATCGGCCCCTCTTATTGGAAGAACTTGCAAATGGCAAGAGTGTTAAAGACATTATTCCATGCAAATGAAAGCGTCTGTAAAATACAATGTCATGTAAGGCTACTCACTTCTTCCCAGAGTGATGGGTTCAGGCAAGACCAGGCTCCAACAGAGAGGTGATTTAACAGCACTTCTGCCCCGAGTTTGGCCGAAATGGTACGATGTTTTACATGTGCTAACACATGTGACTATCCATTTGGGGGAGGGGGGGTGTCTGATTTGGAGTGCTATTAATGTGTAGCCTTTTCTAGCAAATCTGCCTAAGGGATTAGTAACCCCCCAAAAGTTCAGTTGAATATTAACTGCATTAACTTTGCTGGCTGCAACGTCCCGCTACCCACAAACAGCCTACGGTGCCTGAGGGATGACTTGCTTAACCCAAAACATTCCACACAGAGCCCCACTACTGGGAAATCATTCCGGTAAAGGGGGAGCCCTTCCTGCCAACCCTGGCTGAGACTCCCCCAAAAAGAGCCCAGTCTAGGGTATTCGTGGCTTTACTCCATTGCCACAATTTCTCTGACCAGGAAACACCCTTGACTTTTCTAGATTTACTCTTAACCAAGTCCCCCAAGATGATTGGAAAAGATGTGTCCTATAAGGTAAGATGGTCAAATGATCTATGTAAATTACAACTAATAGTTACTCACCACCAAGGTCACATGTGTACCCCATTCCCAAAACATGTTGTCCCCAAGATCAACTTCCTATTGACTATAATAATTCTGGAAAAAATCACAGCGAACAATTTTATTACTATTCCAGTAACCCCCTCCCCCCATAAAAGAGCGAATAAACCTTGAACCCGTATGATAAACAAAAGAAAGGGGGAACAATTTTCTGCCCAACGACAGCACAATCTAGAGGAGATGAGCTCCCCAAAGCCCCTGAGAGACCTCCCTCTCTCCTACTCTAGTTCTTCGTTATATGCATTCATTAGCCCTTCCAAGCTACCCCTATGAAGGGAGTCAGTGTAATGAGACATCAAGTTAAATCTTAGGGCTTGTAACATTTTTTCTTCTCATAATGCTGTACACTTAATTGTTCCTGCCAGTTAGCAACCCAATTATGTTGTCCAGAAATGGAGACAAACAGTCCATTTTAGTATTTAAACAGGAACCGAAACTGTAAGCAGAGAGCTGCAAACCGCACCATTACGCTGGAATGGAAGCTGTATGTGAGAAGAAAAAGTTTCACTCCCACCAATCACCAACCCACCCTGCAAAAAAAAAAGCTACCCACATATCAGAAAGGAGGTAGAACAAGGGAGGCAGAGCTTGGTTTCCTACTTGGAGCTGAGATTTTGTCGAAACCCAGACATAAAAATATAACCTGATAAGGCAGACATTTAACAATATGGTACAACACCCTCTCAAGATGATCGACTAGAGTGACTTAACCAGGAAATTGAACAGGCCCCTTGGCAACCGGTTGTATCTTCAAAATTCACTCAACAAGGACGTTCAGGTAAGAGAAGGCACCAAACTGCTCCCAAACCGACCGACTTCAACAACAGATCCTGCCCGTTGTCATGAAGTTAATTTTCTAATTCATTGCCCAACACATTCTATAAAGTTCAAGACCATGACTGGGCTTTTTGTCCATTCAATTTTTCTCTCTGGAGCACTCGGCTAGACCACACTTGGCTTTAACTACTGCCAGACCAATTCATTAAGAAAAAAGGGGATGGTCTTGAGCCAGAATATTTATACACTTGACTCAGAAACAATCTATTCTAAGGGACATTTTCCCAAGCTAAATGCACTACAGGGCTTTCCTATTCATAAAATTCATTCGCTGGTCTGCAAGTCCCTTAAGTGAGGAGAGAGAGAAAGAGAGAGAGTCACATACAACAAAGGAAAATTCACACTGCCCCACAAGAGAGAAAATGCCCAAGGCACAGCATGGGTTCAGGCTGCTTAGAAAGCAATGAAACTTCACTTTCTTCCACTCACTCTGATTACACAACTAATATTTACTCAGCTTGGGCCTCCTTGTAACCCAAGGGATAGGCATTACCCAAGCAAAGAAGAGAGAACAACCAATACTCAGTATCCTTGCCACACCAGCTCCAGCCCCCAGATCCCACCCTTTATTTAGGATGCTGCTTAGGCTGTTGTTGGTCAAGGCGCAGTACCCCACAAAGACGTGCACATGTACACACTATGCACATACAAGGACCCTACATGGCTTCATATCTACATGTGTGTTATCCGGGTGAGCAGAGCACAGGTCCTCTCCTTCCCCTCCCTCCTCTCCTATGGCCACAGTACAGCACCCCTTTTCTCAATCAGACTTCTCACACACATGCCACAAATCACAAGCAGGACCTCACACTGAGTTATACAGGGGATAAATAGGTTCGGAGATCTGAGTTCTGCTGCTAAACTAAGCTGTGTGATCTTGGGCAAACTGCTTAGCCTTTCTGATCCTTAGCTTCATCATTTACGAAAGGAAGGGTTAGACTTGCTGGTCTCTGAGCTACCTTCCAATTCTAAGATCTTCCTTTTGTTTTCTGTGCTCATTGAAGCTCAATGGACTAGAGGAGTTTGGCTGAATATTCATCAAAGATACTCCAGAGGTGGGGTTGTCCAATATGGTAGCCACCACCCATGTGCACCTATTGGACCCTGAAATGCGACTAGTCCAGATTTCAAAGGCTTAGCATCCAAAAAATGCAAAATAGCTCATTAATAACTATTATATTGGTTACATATCAAAATAGTAATATTTAGGCTATATTGTGTTATATAAAATGCATTATTAAAATTAAATTTACCTATTCCTATTTCTTTTCACTTTTTTAAGTGGCTATTAAAACATGAATTAAAAACCTGACTCACATTATATTTCTGTTGGACAGCAATGTTGTCTCTATAGGAGAGTTAGACACAGAGGCCAAATTGGGTCCACAGCCTATTTTTATATACTCTAAAAGGCAAAAAGCGTTTTTACATTTTCAAAGGGTTCTTTTATAAAAAGAGAGAGACTGTGTGTACAGAGACCACGTGTGGCCAGCAAAGGCTAAACAACTTACCATCTTGCCCTCTGTAGAAAAAGTCTGCAGACCCTCCCTTGTGCCTCTTTGCAGGATGTGGGTGCCAGAGTCTTACCCAGTCTTGAATGCAGGGCTAGAAAAATTAGTCTTGGAGAAATTCCCCCACCCATCTCCATAATCCTGCCATTGTCCTAAGTGCCAGTGGAGAGGATACGAGGAGAATTCCAGAAGGAGAGGAAGGGATAGTGCAGTTCAGTGCTGATTTCCCCAGGCTAACCACAGCAGCAAAGACTGAATAAACTCCGAGCTCACTAATTCCAGTTACCTTCTTAGGAGAACAAGAAGAGCCCAGCTGGTGTGGCTCAGTGGTTGAGCATCAACCTATGAACTAGGAGGTCATGGTTCAATTCCTGGTCAGGGCACATGCCTGGGTTGTGGCCTCGATCCCCGTGTGGGACATGCAGGAGGCAGCTAATCAATGATTCTCCGGTCATTGATATTTCTCTCTCTCTCTCTCCCTCTCCATTCCTCTCTGAAATCAATAAAAACATATTATTAAAAAAGAGAGAGAGAACAAGTAGAAACTTAGCTTGGAGGGACATATGACAACTTCAACCAAAAATTGTAGCTTGGGGTGGGGGGGCACATTCAGTATGACCAACTATGTGCCCAGAACTGAAGGGCTCCCAAATTTTGGATTTTTCCACATGTCACAGTGCAAAAATAGGACAGTCCTGGGAAGACCAGGAGGTGTTGGTCACTTTAAATCTGAACAGTAGAAACTGTGCTGCTATGGTACATAAGGGATGCAATGCTAATCGCATTTTTTTTCCAATAGGAAATTTGCCTTCTTTAATAAAGCTGCATGCTGAATTTGTGCCCTTTCTACTTTTATTACCTTTTCGTTATTGGAAATTAAATTTTCAGTAAGTTCTGCATTGACCATTCAGTTCTTTCATTTTGTGATCTTGGATCAACTTCAAACCCAGAGAAGTTGTATATCCCTTAACTGCCCCGGGCCCCACTTTTTCTTCTATCAGCTATCCTGAGTAGTCAGTGCATTCTTTCCAGGGACTTCTGTTGGAGGACCAACACGGACTACAAGAACCTGGAGGGGTGCCAAGCTGGTGTGGCTCAGTGGCTGAGCTTCAACCTAAGAACCAGGAGGTCATGGTTTGATTCCCGCTCAGGCACATACCCGGATTGAGGGCTCAATCCCCCGTAGGGGGCATGCCGGAGGCAACTCATCAATGATTCTCTCTCCTAATTGATGTTTCTATCTCTCTCTCCCTCCTTCTCTCTGAAATCAATAAAAATATATTTTTAACAAAGAAAAAGAAGAACCTGGAGGGAAACGAGGAGTCTCAACTAAGGATTCCTGCTCAATCTGGGATGACTCGGACAAAACTCTCAATAGGATGGATTTTTGAGAACGTGTTTAAAATGGTTCAACTCTAGAACTGCTTGAACTGGAGACAAAATAGAATACAACAAGACCCAATTTCCCAAGAAAAGGGTATGTTGGGGACACTTCAAGTCCAGAGAAGTTGTATGTCCCATGTACCTGAACCCACACGGGGACATTTGGTTGTCATTTGTTTCCATTATTTGGGAGGTGATTGTTTTGAAAACCGAGGATGAAATGATTGCACATGTCACTTTCACAGACAACAAGACTTTGGAATGGAATTGCCCTTCTCCCAGAGGCAGGGAGATGCCCCTCCTGTTTGGGAGGAGATGGTGTCCTCCTTCATGTATTCAACGCACACTATGCTTCATCCAGGGATGCTCTATTGTGCAATAATTGGTCCCCACTGTCACATGCACAATTGGGCTGCTCGGATGTAAGGGTAAAACCTCTTCAACAGCTATCACCACGGCTAGCCTGAGGCTCAGACGGCCCCCTGTGGCCATCTGCCTGCAGCAACCCATGACTAAGGCACACAGGAGGGAGGGGCACATCTATAATCTTTTATTTTTATTAGAAATACACCCACAAAACCTCATTAGTGATGGCTGAGTGTTGTGTCAAGTCCCCAGTGAGGACTCTGCCAGGGTACAGCTTGTTGAGGAAGAGAAGTGGCCAAGGCTCAGGACAGAGAGGAGGCTGGGAAGGCAAGAACTCCTGCTGGTCTGAGCCCCTCCCTATGGAGGCAGCTGGCCTCCTCCCTGCAGGCCTGTCCCTTGGCCCAGACATTACCCACTCTAACCCCCAAGTCCTGGGGCCATTCGTCACCACCTGAGCTACCCCCAGGGTCCTCCCAGCCCTCTGAGCTCAACCTGGGGACAGCTTGGATGGCGCCAGAATACTGAAGACATTCCGCAGCTCCCACGTGACTGAAATTCTCCCTTTTCAACTCAGAATCCCTTTCATGTCAAAGTCAAACTTTGGGTTTCTTTTTCTTATTATTGTTTCGACACACGCCTTTTTGAAATTTCTTTGTTCTCCTTGGTCTGTGGCAAACTCTGCTGCTCCCTGACTCTGAAGTTCAGATCAGCCTGGGGGGGACTTTCCCCCCCCATTCAGCGGAGTCTTATGAACCATGGGATCTGGCACTCGGAAGTAAGTGGCATGCTGGCCACAGAACAATGACACACATTGTTCTGTCCTCCGGGGTATTGACACTTGAACCACAGGGACCTGGAATGGCTGCTTCCCCTGAGACAAAAGCCAACTTTCTCCCATGAAACCTTTTTAATACAGACCCACAGAGGTGGGGGAAAGCC